GTATGGCACCAAAGGTAAGGCCCAAGTTCAAAACCAAGAGCACCTAGCAGATGCCTTTGGGGCAATGCCAGCTGCAGGGCTTGCTGCCTCTCTTACTTTGCAGGCCTGAGAGGATTTCCCTTATTTTCCTATAAGCTCAGGTATGCATTTAAAAAGATGTTTTTAAAAAAACTATCTTATCCAGCACTTTTCAGGTGATACATAAGAAGGAGGCTCCCCCAGATATCTAGGGACTTATATAGCCAGAAACTAAAGTTGAAAAAAAGTTTCCTAATGTTAAAATTTTAATTATTTACTTTTTTCCTTTTTAAGATTAATGATTCTTGAAATTGTTGATTAGATAGCTGCATAAGTCAAAAGGCAATGGTTAATGTGAAATTAATATTTTAAAAATGGAATCCATTAATGTAAAAGATTGACTTTACTAAGCTTTTCTTAAATACTCAAACATTCTAAAAGTTCAATTTATCTGGAGGATGTTAACATGAATAATTTAAAATTCATTTTCCACTCCAAGAGAAATAAAATTGATTTTGAGGGTTTTCCTGAATCCAAAAGCTTAGTTATTTTTAATAAAAAACAATTTTTGACAAATGATAAATGGATGGTTACATGATGATAGACAGAAGGATAGATAGATGGATAGTTGATAGATTGTTGTTATAAACTTTAGACACTGATCTTATCACAACCAAAGATGAGCCTAAGTTTAGAAGTCAGGGGATTCCTGGGCCAGAAGTTTGATCCACTAGGTGCAACCAATCAACTAACAGAAATCAGCTAAGATGCCTACATATGATGACCCCATAGCTACCTATGCTACGAAGACCAGAATGGAACTGGATCCTGAGAGAAGGCGACACTGAGTTTTAATGATCTACAGTAAGATGTTTCGTCAAAGGACTGAATCATTGCAGGAATTCCCCCAAATAAGAAAACCTAGGTACTTCTTGGGTTCCATTCAGATGGCAATGTTATCCAAGTATGTTAACAAGACCCAGCTGACTCTACACCTGATTTGGCTGATCTGGCTAACGTGGTGGTCGTCTCCTTCCTCCTTCGTCATTCCCTGAGTTTTGTCCTGTGCACAGCCCACAGTGAGTACGCAGTTGAGGAGGACAACCTTTTCCGATAGAGCTGATTATTCTTTACAGTCAAGGATCTAGGAAATGGGGGGCTTCCCTCCAAATCAGCTCTTAAGTTCCATTTGTAGGAACTATACGTGAGGGCATGCTTGAAAGCTTCAGTTACAACTACTTGCTTTCTTAAAAATGATGGACTTGGTGGTTTATTTTGGGCATTTTCCTACCTCTCTCTGGCAGGCCATATAATGGCCTCTCAAAAACGTCCTCCTCCTAATGCCAAGAACCTATGAATATGTTATCTTAAATGGCCAAAAGGGACTTTGTGGATGTGACTAAGGTTATACATCTTGAGATGGGAAGATTATCCTAGATTATCCGAGTGGGTCCAATCAATCAAAGAGTGCCTCAAAACAAAGAACCTTTCGCAGCTGTGGTCAGAGAAATCCAAGGGAGGAAGAGGCAAGAGAGATTCAAAACAGGATAGGGACTTGACCCACTGTTGCCGACTCTGACATTGAGAGAAGCCATGAAAGAGCAAATGCAGGCAGCCTCTAGAAGCTGAGAGTGACCATGACCAACAGCCAGCGAGGAAATGGGGACCTCAGTCCCACAACCACATGGAACCGAATTCTGCTGACACCCACATGAGCAAGGAAACAGACTCTTTTCTGGAGCCCTGAGAAAGAATGCATACCTGTAGACATCTTGATTTTAGCCTGGTAAGACTCTTATCAGACTCATGATCCACAGAACTAGGAAATAATATATTTGTGTTGTTTGAAGCCATTAGATTTATGGTAATCTGTTATAGCAGCACTAGGTAACTAACCTATCCTTCTGTTTTCATGTCTCTTATCGCCCACTGTACACTTCACTTTGTACTGACTCTACCCAGGTATTCCAGTGCTTTCACGGGTTCTTGTGATGGTTGAGGATGCCCCACTACAGAAGTGAACACAAGGCTGAGTAGGGCCAATCCAAGTCCCTTATAAGTTCCATTCGAGATTGATAGGGATGTTGGGAGATAGAGTATGTTTCTCCTCTTGATATGGCAAACCAAAATAGGGGCCATGTAAACCTGGATATCCCATGTGTAGGAGAGAACCTGCTTGAGACTAAGGGTAACTCAAAAGAAACAAAAAGCTGAGAGATTCTGAAGGCATACTTCAAGCACCCAGATGCAGTGATTCCTGAAACAAATAACCTCTACACATTTTAGTTGTCTATCTTAAAAAAAAGACACCTTTTGTTTAAGTTTGGTTTTGTTGCCTGCCCCTACAAGAGGCTTGGCTGATAAAATATCAGTGTCCCTGGGTTGCTAGAGGCACTGGATGAATTCAGCCTGATGGCCTCAGGCACAATGCCTGGAACACAATAGGCCTCAAATTCCTAGTTTTCTTAATCTTTCAGTCCTTCCCAAGGAAAACCACATGCCCCAGATGTGTCCTCCCTACTCCTGTCTCCAATCTCAAACTCTTAGGATTTTGAAAGGAGACATGTAGCCACGGAAAATCTTACATAAGATGACAAAGTTGATTAATGTGCTCACGAACTACCTTTCTCATCGAAACTATTAGAGATTGAAACTTGGGAGAGACGCTAGCTCCCAAGAGTATATAGTGAATTTCAGGCACTGTGATATGGATGTACAGAAAACATTTTGGACTGGGCATCCTTTTTTTGGCACCCCCCCCTAAATTATATTTCAAATGATTATCACTCCATTCATTCAGAAGACTGGTTCTGGTCATACATCTGTACCTTAAAAAAAACCAAACAACCTTATAACTGTGGCTGGAAAAGGATTTACACACATCTGTTATTCTGCACTGTCTGTTTACAGATTCTATTTGTTTTCACGTCTATTTGTCACACCACATGCACTGGAGACAATTGCCATATGAAAGAAGGAATAATATTTTTATTTTCCAAATCAAGGAATGCCCATCTTGAAAATAGCAATATCAGCATTTTAATTTGATATTGGCTTGAGATTAGGTCTAGTCCTTTTCGGCATATGTTCATATGGAAAAGTGAAAATGCATTATTTGGAGACTTACTGGTAGTTTTCTGGACTCAGCTGCAGCAAGTTCTGTGCTCCGAATTATTTGTCTCTTGGCAGATATTTAGTTTGTGGAATATGATTAAACAGTGTCTCTTAAGGTTTTATAGCTTGTCTTCCCTGCCTACATGTGAAAGAAATATTAAGTCTCTGACCTCATACTCTCTACACAGAAGACCCTTGATAAAAACCTCAGGGCTGGGGCCGGCCCAGTGGCGCAGTGTTAAGTTTGAACGTTCCGCTTCGGTGGCCCAGGGTTCGCCAGTTCGGATCCCCGGTTTGGACCCATGCACCACCTGTTAAGCCATGCTGTGGCAGGCATCCCACATAAAACAGAGGAAGATGGGCACGGATGTTAGCTCAGGGCCAGTCTTCCTCAGCAAAACGAGGAGGATTGGCAGCAGATGTTAGCTCAGGGCTAATGTTCCTCAAAAAGAAAAAAAAAAAAACTCTCAGGGCTGAACTGAGGAGGATTCTGGGTAAATTCATCTCTCTCTGGGATCCTCACCCTAGTTGCTTAGTCAGGGTGTGGTTCTCTTTCTTCTGGCAAGCTCAGCCTGAGTGCTCTGAACTGGCTAATGCTGTATGTGATTCCATTACGCATGTATTAGGCTGGATGATATCCCCAAAGAATAACCAAGCCAATTAACAGGTTGTTCTTCTTACAGAGCTGTGAAATCCCCTGGGTGCCCCTAAGGGCTTTTCGGTTTCCCAGAGTGTGGCAGAAAGAATGCAGTGGGAAGCTCATAAGGATGGTGTCAGAGGCAGTTATGTCATGTGAAGGAGCAGTGCCTATATGAGTAGTCGGGCTCTGCAGTCAAGAGCCAGAACTGGGAACCAAACCGGCAGTTCATTACGTTCAGCACGTTTCACCTTGATTGACACACCTTGCAAACAGTCATCTTCAACACAAGAAATGTGGGTTTGTATCCATTAGAGAAATGGTTCCGAGGAGTCATAGAGCAGTGTAAGTCGTTTTTGCCCGAGGTAAGATATCACAGAAAGTCACTCAGAAGCATTCCGTGGAGCTTGGGAACAAAGAGACTAGAAGACATACATTTGTCATATAACGGCTGGTCTTTCTTCAAAATGTTCACTACATATGCAAAAGCCATTATAAAGTGGGGATGGGTACAAGTTACTTAAATGAGCCATCAGCTGAAAAATTGGAGAAAATATGAAGGATGTGGTGGGGGGGAGAGGGGACACTACCAGTTACAGTATCCAAAATTAATTAAAGGAAGAGCTAACCTCTAGAATCGGGTAGAACTAATATTTTATAAGGGATACAGATAAAAGGCACACTGGCGTGAAGGAAGGTGTGATGGTTCATTTTATGTGTCAATTTGAGCGGGCCATGGGGTACCCAGATTAAACATCGTTTCTGGGTGTGTCTGTGAGGTTGTTTCTGGATGAGATTAGCATTTGAATCAGTGGACTCAGCAAAGTAGAGTGCCCTCCCAATGGGCCTGGGCATCATGCAATCCACTGAGGGCCTGAACAGAACCAAAGTGGAGGAAGCAGGAATTTGCCCCTTTTTTCCTGCCTCACTGCTTGAACTGGGGCATCTCATCTCATCTTCCTCTGTCCTTGGCCTGGGATCTACACCATCGGTCCCCGTGGGTCTCAGGCCTTTGGACTGAATTACACCACTGGTGTTCCTGGGTCTCCAACTTGCAGACAGCTGACCATGGGACTTCCCAGCCTCCATAATTGTGTGAGCCAATTCCTCATAATAAATCTCCATATATATATCTCTATACACACACACATATATATATCCTACTGGTTCTGTCTCTCTGGAGAACCCTGACTAATACAGAAGGCATATTAAAATCTTGTGTTTGAGGATTTGCTGTTCCCTAGAGTTGCTTTGGTAATGAAGATTGGAAAGAAATACGTCAGATATTAAAACAAAGGAAGAGTTTCATTAGCATCACCAGCAATCAACTGCTAACCATAAAGTGGCCAGGAAAGCACATTAGAACCAGGTTCAAGAGCTCAGAGAAGCTCCTCTCCTCTGTAAGATTCCTTGCACTACAACTCCAGACAATGAGAGCATCAGCTGGAAGTCTGGGAGCGCTGGATCAGTCAAGAAGGTCAAAGACAAGGATCAAAGGGACACGCCATTGTTATCCTTGCCAGACACCCCTGGAATAAGGGCAGGGAGAGCTACAGGCACACCAGCTGTGCAGGCAGCCGTCAGAGGGAAGGGAGGAGCTTTTCTGGATCAAATGTGTCAAGCAGGCCCTGAGGAACAGACGTAGAGGTGCAGACAATGGCAGCCCTCCAAAGCAGGCGAACAGGCAGAAGCCGAAGAAGAAAAGGCAGAGAAAGCCAGTGGCCATGTGTGGATCTTCTCAGTTACTCTTCAATGCAGTGTGAGCTGCTTAATCCTCTCTTCCTCCTTTTGAAGTGAAAGATAATCAAATGACAACGAAAGACTTGTATTTATTTTTAATTAACAGAAAATCATTGTATTTGGACATTCATATAAAAACAATATAGGACAGAAGTCACCATTGGAGTGTTACTTGAAATAGCAACTAAAAACACTATTTTAGAGAGGCCTATAAATGGAATTGTTAAACTCTGAAAGACAAAGTAAACTGTACATGAGTACTTTAGAAGAAGTGACTTGATAAGATGGTACATTTTAAAGGAGTGAAAGAATGCTCTTTCCAGGTTCTCCTATAAGGGTAATATCAGTGTAGTGCCTTTAACCATAGTACAACCATTTATTTTGAGTTATGTGCCTTTAAAAAACAATACTGCTGAATATTCAATGCATAGACTACCTAGCATAGGTAAGAAAGAAAACTGAAATGAGTAGAACAAGAAAAATCCCACATTTTATACCACATGAGATAGATTTCTTCTCACAGCCATTAGGATTACCTGTGAAAATCAAGCCATGACCTGAGTTCATTTTCCTCATCATGTCCTAACAAACACCAGTGTGGGTGATCAGAATTTGCCACCCCAAAAATGTGTCTCTTTGGCTTGATGATTTTTAAGGACAAAAGACTCTGAAAGAAACTTTGACCTTCTCCATAACTGCCTAAAAGAATTTAAGATAGAAGGTCTGTCCCCAGGACAGGCCACCACCGCAGATAACTCTGGGATTGATAGACTGGGATGATCCTTGCTAAGCCCATTTTTATCAAAGTTCTCTCTCTTGGGTCACATTGTCTATAGATGGCCCAGCACACATTTGTTTATCAAACATTTGCTTTTCCATCTCCATGTAAATTGCCTTCCTCCCTTTGAAATCCCAAACCACTATCCCCAACATCCTCTTTGTCTTTATCTGAAGATGGTATTTAAGGTGGCAGCTTCAGCCATTCCGGCAAGTTACTCGGTTTTCCTGGGTTTCTCTCATGTGTGCATGTTATTAAACTTTATTTGATATTCTCCTGTTATTCTGCCTCATGTCAATTTAATTCTTACACCATCCGGAAGGACCTAGAGGGTAGAGGAATAGATCTTCCTTCCCTGGAACAGGACTTTGTTTTTCATTAAATAGAATTTATGATATATTTAATTCTGAATCGCATTGGGTTGGGCATTATTTTAAACAAGGCAAACAGGAACAGTTCATACATTTTGGAAGCTTATAGATTAAAATGGATAATGACAAAAAACAAGTGTAAAAAACATGCATGTATAAAACACACCTACTAGCAAGTATCTAGGCAACATGAGAATATACTAAACTAAATTATTTCCAGTGCTTTTAACACAATACAATAGAAAGGATTTTCAAAAATGTCTTTAGCTATCTGGTTAGGCAAGATACAAATGCTCTGTAGAAACCTACAGCTCAGGCTGGAGTAGGGGGGAGAAAACTTTAGCCTGGGCAGGTTGAAACACTGGAACAGAGTTCACACAAACAGCAGAGCCTCTAAATAGCAAAGAGTCCTTATCTGTAGAGATACACAGATGAAATTACATGATGTCTGGCATTTTCTTCAAAATAATCCAAAAGTGAGGGGAATAGGTAGGACTTACAAATGAAACCAGATTGGTTATGAGTCAACAATTGTTGAAGCTGGGTTATGGCTTCATGGGGGGTTATTATACTATTCTCTCTACTTTTGTATATGTTTGAAATTTTCCAAAATAAAGTTTTTTTAAGAACTACAGGATAAAAAGAAAAACCATCAATTGTGTAAATTTGAAGCAAAACCGACAGAAGATGAGAATCTAAAATGTTTCAAGAACTCATAAATCATTAAGCGAAAGATAAAGAAACCAATTGAAAAATGGACAAAAGCCAGTAAATGAGTATTTTATGAAAGAATAAAAAATGGCAAACAAAATATCAAAAGATATTTAGCCTCACTAAGTAAGCAGGAAAATGCAAATTACAACAAAAATGAGATACTTTATACACCACGATAGGTTATGTTATATTGTTACACCAACATCCAAGAATCTTATACCAACAAAATTTTACTTCTCACTCACACTAAATGTCCACTGTAGGTCAAGTGGGAGGCTCTGTTCATCATACTCACTTATGTTCCCAGAGTTACACACTGGTCACTTCCTGAATATTGTAGGTCTCTTTTCCAGAGAGCCATGGAGGTGTTTGCATCAGCGATTAATTACTCCAGCCTGGAAATGGCACACATCTCTTCACAACTCATTGCTCAGTACACGGCACCGGAACTCACACAACCACGAGGGACCAGGAAGTGCAGCTCCTCCCACCATTTGCTTGGAAGGAGGGATGACTGGAAATGTTTGGGGAAACCAAATGACTTCCACAGATACCAATTATTTTTCCATCAGATTGGCAAAACTCTATAGTCTGAAAAAAATAAATACTGGTGAAAACGTTAAGCAAGAGAAACTGTTATACACTGTAGACTGAAGAGTAAATTGAGATAACCACTTTAGAAAACAATTTAAAATTTCTTAGCAAAGTTGAAAATCCATGTAGTCTTCAAGTCAGCAATAACACTCCAAGATATACACCTTAGAGAGACTTTTGCGTATGTGCACCAAAGACATATTCAAATATGCTCACGGCAACACTGTAAACAAACAAAAACCGACACAGCTCTCACATCCACAAACAGTAAAATAGATAATTTTTTGAATATTTATTTAATGAAATACTAATCAGTATAGAAAATGAACAAAAGAGACACACGTTTATTTGGTTGAATTTCAAAAACATCATATTGAGTGAAAAAAGTATGTCAAGAATATGGTGTTTTGGCAAAGGTCTAAGCAGTTAAAATTAATATATTGTTTTAGAAATACATACTAAAGCAAATAAATAATGTGTAATACAAAATTCAAGATAGAGGTAACTCTGAGTGGATTGGGAGAGAGGTATGGTCAGAAACTGTTATAAGGTGCTAGTAATATTCTTTTTGGAATAATAAGCTGTTTGGAGTTTTAAATATGTGTTTATTTTATTATTATTCTTTAACTTGTACATATACATTATATATACTCATGTTTATCTGTGCATGCAAAAAAGCAGGGACGTACTTGTCATATTATGGAGAAAAACCGATCAATAGAAACAGAACAAAAAAATGACACAAACAGTAGAATTAGTAGTCAAGGACATTAAAGGAGCTATTAAAACTATATTCTGAATATTTAAGAAGGTAGAAGAAAGCATGAGCATGATGAGAGAGAAATTAAAAATATTAAAAAGAATAAATCAAACTTCTAGAGATGAAAAATATAATAAGTGATATGAAAAATCCACTAAATGAGATTAACAAATTAGACACAGCAGAAGAAAAGCTTAGTTCACTTGAAGACATAGCAATAGAAACTGCAAAGAATGAAACACAAAGAAAAAAAGACAAAAACCATGAACAGGGCATCAGCGGTCTGTACATCAACACCAAGTGGTCTAACATAGGTATAATTGGAGTCCTGGGGGAGAGTGGAGAGGAGAGACAGAAAAATATTGTAATAAAAAATTCCTGAAATGTGTCCAAATTTGAAGAAAACTATAAACATATAGGTCCAAGAAGCTCAATGAACCACAAATAAAATTTTAAAAATGAAAAAATCTGTAATGCAATCATTATAATCAATTGCTGAAAACCAGTGAAAAAGAGAAAATCATAAAAGGAACCAGGACACTTTACATACAGAGGAATAAGGATAAGAATTACATTAGATTTCTTGTCAAAAACCATGCACGCCTGAAGAGAGTGGAGTGAAGTCTTTAAAGTATTGGAAGAGAATATGGTCAACGTAGAATTCTTTACCCAGTGAAAATATCTTTCAAAAGCGAAGAATAAAGATTTTTCGATACATGCAAAAGATAAGAAAATACATCACCAGCAGATCAGCACTACCAGAAATATTGAAAAAAGCCCTTTAGAAGAAGAAAAAAATTACAAGATGAAAACTAAAAACTGCACTTCTAAGCAATCCATGGGTCAAAGCAGAAGTCCTATGAGGAATTAGAAAGTATTTTTAACTCAATGCAAATGAAAGCAAGATATATCAAAATTTGTAGTATACTGCTAAAGTAATATTGTAAAGGAAAAACACTCCTGTTTCTCCTTTGCTCTACTACAACACTCTACTCTTAACATACCTCACTTCTGGTCACCAAATATGTGGAGTTTTTTCCCACACCAAGCAATTCTCACACAGCAGCAGGAGGTCCTATAATTTAACTCAATTTTGACACTGTCTGCCTGGAGATAGTGTCAGATTCCACACGTTAACAGCTCAGTCCCATAAGACTTCTCCCACTTCAGACACCATTGGCAAGTCCAAGTGGTCACCTGCACTTCTGACAGATCAGCTATAAATTGGAGGTTCTCATGACCCCCTCCTGGGGTTTGATAATTTGCTAGAGCAGCTCACAGAACTCAGGGAAAACAGTTTACTTATTACATTACTGGTTTATTACAAAGGATATAACTCAGGAACAGCCATGTGGAAGAGCTGCATGGGGCAGGGTACGGGGAAGGGGTGCGGAGCTTCCATGCCCTCTTCAGACGCGTCTCCCTCCCAGGTCCTCCACGTGTTCACCGACCTGGAAGCTCTTTAAACCTCATACTTTTGGGATTTTTATGGAGGCTTCACTATGTAGGCATGTTTGATTCATCATTGGCCCTTGGTGATTAAGTCAATCTTCAGCCCCTCTCCACTACTGGGAGGTTGGGAGTGGGGCTGAAAGTTCAACCCTTTAATCACATGGTTGGTTCCCTTACGACCAGCCCCCATCCTTAGCGGTTCTCCAAAGGCCACCTCATTAACACAAACGCAGGTGTGGTTGAAAGGGGCTTGTTATGAATAACAAAAGACCTTTTATCACTCCTCTCACTTAGGAAATTCCAAAAGCTTTAGAAGCTCTGTTCAGGAATGGACACAAAGAGCAAATATATATTTCCTGTTCCAAATCACAATATCACAAATGTTTAGAGGGAAACTTATAGCATTAAACCCTTACATCAGAAAAAAGTCTCTCATCACTAACCTAAGCTTCCGCCTTAAGGAACCAGAGAAAGAACAAATTAAACTCAACGTAAGCAGAGGAAAGGAAACAATACAGATGATAGGAGAAGAACAGAAAATGAAGTAGGAAACAAACAAAAAATAGAGAATATTATTGGAATCAAATGCTGGTTATTTGAGATCAATGAGAGTGATCAATCTTTAGTTAGACTGATCAAGAAAAAAAAGAGAAGATGCAAATTACCAAGGATAGGGATGAGAAGGGGGACACCACTCCAAAGGTTGTTGACGTGAAAAGGATGAGGGAATATTATGAACATCTTTTACCGATATATTTGACAAGTGAGATGACATAGACAAAGTCTTTGAAAGAAATCGTCGTCTAAAGACCACTCAAGAAGAAACAGATAATCTGAATAGCTCTGTCTTAGCCTGCTCAGGCTGCCATAACAAAATACTATAGGCCTGGTGGCTTAAGCAACTGAAATTCATTTTCACGCAGTTCTGAATACTGGAAGTCCAAGATCAAGGTGCCAGCAGGTGAGTGTCTGTGAGAGCTCCCTCTCGGAGCTACAGATGGGCACCTTCTCACTGTGTCCTCACATGGCAGACAGAGAAATGGCTCTCTTCCTCTTCTTACAAGGTCACAGTCCTAGCAGATTAGGGCCCTACCCTGATGACCTCATTTAACCTTAATAACTTCCTCAAGACCCTATTTCCAGATATCGTCACACTGGGGGGTTAAGGGCTTCAATATATGAATTTTGGGGACACAATTCAGTCCATAGCATCCTGCCACTAGGGCGCCAAAATTCATGTCCTCATCACACACAAAATACATTCATTCCATCCCAACAGCCCCCAAAAGTCTTAACTTATTCCAGCATCAATGCTAAAGTTTAAAGTTTCTACTTCTCTAGGATGCAAATGCCTGACAGAGCTATTGCTGAGTTGTGCAGTAAATGTGCGTTTAATAAGGAACCGCCAGATTCCCAGGGTGGCTGCATCATTTTCCATTTCCACCAGCAATGTCTGAGAGATCTAGTTTTCCTGCACTCACGTCAACATTTGGTTTTATTAGTATTTTTTATTTTAGCTATTCTAATAGGTGTGTAGTAATATCTCTTCGTGGTTTTAATTTGCATTTCCCTAATGGCCAGTGATGCTGAACAACTTTGTGCTTATTTGCCAACCCTATATCTTTGATGAAATATCTGTTCAACTCTTTTGTCCATTTTCGAATTAAATGTTTGTTTTCTCACTGCTGAGGTGGGAGAGGTCTTTATATATTCTACATATGAATCCTTTATAAGATATATGGTGTGCAAATATTTTCTCCCAGTGAGAGGCTTCTCTTTTTATCCTCTTGACAGGGTCTTTCACGGAGCAAAAGCTTTTCATTTTCAATGATCCGTTTTTAAACACAAATTGAATTAAATTAAAAATTCAGTAAAAAGGCCAGTCACATTAGGCAAATTTTAAGTACCCATGTGCAGCTTGTGGCTACCTATTGACCAGCACAGCTTAGAGGATAGGTGGATTTTGGTTGAGCATCTCTCCAGGTAAGGGACCAATATAAACAGAATCAGAAGCATGAATGGGTGAGGAAAGTTAAAGGAGAACGAACAGAGCTGATTGGGTGAAGTGTGAGATTCAGGACAAGAAGACGGGCTCTAGCTGGAAGGTCAGTTTTCTCTAGATTGGGAAAGATGCTGAATGCTAAGAAAAAGGTTGAAGCCTTATCTGGCAGTGTCTGTGGAGTCCTTGGGATTTCCTAAACAGGAGAAAGGTGTATTGCAGGCAGTGTTTTAGGAAGATCCATTGATAGCAAAGAGGACTGGAAAAATTGCAGCCATGCTCTCCCCTTCTTCCTCCTGTTTCCCTCTCTTTAATTTTCTCTGCACAAACTTGCAAGTGCTCAGCCATGACAGCCCAGTCAGGGCTAAAGTTGAAATCATTTCAGTTTTTCCCCTAATCTTGAGCACCTTAGCCTATCTTGTTAATCACAGATAAGGCAGAAAGAAGGTGTTTAAGATAATGTCTGGTAAGAAGTGCAAGAGCTTGTAGGTGTTATTGTACAGAAAACAAGTTTTTAAAAAATATGTTTCTATAAAAGAAATGTGAGAAAACTAAGTTAACAAATGCAACAAAAACTCAATGATAGAAGAGAGGCTCAAGGAAGTAAAGTCTTTTCTTAATATTATTGTGCCAAGATTGACAGACATTTATAGACAAAACTAGTCTATAATTTTTCACCTTGATTAAAAAATAGAAAAGACTACACAGCTGATATCAATGATTAAGAGAGATCACTTGAATGTGATCAATAAGTCAGGAGATAGAGGTCTCAGAGCGGATTTGTTG